CACAATCACTCACGCACTCTCTCTCCCTCTCTTGTTTTCTCTCACTCACACACACACACACACACACACACACACACACACACACACACACACACACACCGCTGGTCATGCAAACACCTACGTAGAGGGAGGAGCCCTGACCAGAGCTTCTCACCTTAAGATTGCAGTGCAGCGAATTATACAGCTGCATTTCAGTATGTTTTAATCTAAGGCTGGTTTTATGGTGGCTTTCCAATCACATTTACATTCTCAGGTATGGGGTTTCCCATCTTCCCTTTGATAATACTCCATAAGTTATCTATGGATTTAGATCTGGTGATGCCACGGTCATTAAAGCAGGTATTGGCATTTTTGGTAATGCAAGCAGGTGCCAAGTTCTGCTGGAAAACCAAATCAGAGTCCCCATAAAGTCTGTCGGGAAATAGTATGAAGTGATCTCAGCTTTCCTGCTAGACAATAATACTGGGCGCTTGCAATGATGATGTTGAGAGAATAAGGGGACGAAAAGTAGTGCATGGAATCAAGGTACCTTTAAACGCTCTGATAATCAAGCTGGAAGCAGCATCTTCTGCCCATTACACACACTTCACAGATGTTCCCACACATGCATGTGCAGCATTTTAGCCATCATAGTTACCATAGCCACACACACACGCACACACACCAAGTACAGTAGTATAACTGCATGCCTGAGTACTTCATGACTTAAAAAAAAACAAAAAAAAACAAAACAAAGGTACTTCAGCAGCATCAGATGTACTGAGGCAGAGAGAGAGGTGTTGGAGTGGGCAGTATAGAATGTAGTGAGTGTTGAGGCAGTAAATTGGCATTGTGTAACAGGATACCACACATAGCTCTTTTGCTGTTTGGATCTCAACAACTATTCTCTGGACAAAAAGCCCTTTGTCTACATCTGACACCCTGGTCCTGTTTTTGAGGCTGTGCTGTGTTTCTCTTTTGGATCAATATTGGACGACATCTAAAGGTCTCATCTCACGTTCCTTCAGCAAACAAGGAGGCGATAAATCATGTCAACTGTTGGATTCAAAACTGTCATTTGTGGCATATCAGTTTCTAAATGAAGAGTGTATGTAGAGAACAAATAGTGGCACTGTGGCGACGTCCCTCATTTTCGGACACAATGGATGACTTCATGTGTTTAACGCGTCTACACTGGTAAGATTTTGCACCTTAGCAACATAGTGGAGTGACCTGCTAGGTAGATCAAATCTACATAGAACCAATACCACCAACAAGGCACTGGCAGAGTTTTACTACTGTCCTGATGTCTATGGTTATGTGAATAATATATAACTTAAGAATGAAGATTTAAAGGTGCATCAAAAATTAACTGGTGACCTGAACCAGATGAATATGATATTGACCTTCCCTGACCTCTGGTCAGTAAGTGTGAAAGGCAAATCTTGAATATTTTTCCAATTAATGAACGTGCCATGCCTAAACCATACAACTTCCACACTCTTCAGTGTGGAAGACTCAAAGTTAGCCACCTTACTGGTCAATGTGCTGTTTAATAATCAGAGGAAGCATAAAAAAAAAGAGTATAAGAAGCTACTTAAAAGGAAACTATTGAAATCAAAAGCTAAGCTGTTCCGTCATGCTGCTACTTTTAAGCAAAACATGTAGACTAAACATATTGCAGACAAGTTGCTCTGTTTGATCATTTTCAGCTTTCATCCTCTGTAACTTAAAAGGCTGGATTTGGGAATTTGGCAACCTTTGGAAAACTCAAATGTAAATTAGAGGTCAAGAGACTGCTCTTCAGTGTACAGATGCTCGTCTCCAACACTAAATGTCAATGCAGTAAAGTTTTTAGTCTGTTTTAATATAGAAAAAGGCTGTGTTACAGCAACTTCTCTCACACACACATTGAGTGATCTTGCCTCCATTTCTAATATAAATAATTAGTGATCACCAATAGCCTGGAATGTTGGATTTATTTTATTTTTTTTTAATAAAGTTAATTATGGATCGCAAAGAGAAACTGGAATCAACAAAAAATAAATTAAACATTATGTCATCAGCACTTTATAAAGCTTTGTAAAGACCGAGAATCGTCCACAAACTGATCAGTGAATCTCCATTCACTTTTTAGATACGGTCATTGTGACTTAAACAACAAAAAAGTTGGGAAGAGATAAAAATAAGAAGGCAGGATGTTTTCTCCTTTGAACAGAAGAAGTGACATATATTTCTGTTGTAAGTCTGAACAGCTCACTGAACCTTAAGGGCTCAAAAACAAGTGACAGGTCTGAGTTGTTTCTGAGGTTTTGAGTTGGCAGACACCCAACTGCCAGTCCCAACTGTGAGACTATCAGCACAGAAAAACATATTTTTATTATAATAGGACCCCCTTAGCATATGAGTTGAGCTGGTTGAGTTTTTGTATTATTCAATAAATAGAGTCAATGAAGAGCTGAACGATAAGTATAATTACAATCCACAGTGCAAATGTCAATGTTCATAATAATGCAATCACAAAGGACTGAATGCATGTAGTATCTGGTATGCTATTACTGCTCTGCCTCACAGTAAATTTTTGGTTTGACTGTTGTGTTCATGGAACAGAAACATCTGAGTGAGGAAAATGTGGACTGATCTAAGCTGATGTTTTTCTAATGTGTAGCTCTAACCCTATAAATGTCATTGTTCTGGTTACATATTCATCACAAATGCACACTTCATAGGCTGGCAAAAAATATCCGTTTATATTTTATGTAGGTTTAATGAATCTTCTGTGATGTTTCTGCTTCTGTATTTACAGGGTTCTGAAGCATTTTTCAGAAAAAAAAAAGTTTTTTTTTTTAGAAATAATTTTTATTTCAGTTATTTTTGTTAACTTCTAATAAAATTTTTAGAATTTGACTACAAAATATTAAACTGCTTGAGTAGTTTTAGATCGTATTTTCTGCAGGTCTCTCATGTAATTAGACAATCAGATTCTGACTTTTGGATAGTGGTAAAGTCTTCTGCTACTGTTTTTGTGACATCTGGTCTGACTTAGATCTTGTGCATTTTAAAATCTAGACTCCTAAATAGGAATGATATATCCTAGTCTAGAAATCTGGGAAATTTGGTATATTTTGCATGTTTTGATGTCAAAACATGCCAAAAAGTAAAAAAATAAAAGGAGCAGAGTTAATATTTTTATATCCAACCTAACTCGTTATTTCAGATTTTCTATAATGTCCACACTTTGACAAATCGTTGAGTTTTGGCTGCTGCATTTCTTTTTGAGTACAGAAAGAAACCCAACATGTATTTATTTATTTTTAGAAAGGTTTGCATTACTTCTGGAAACTCCAACCTAAGACAAATCCTATGTAAGATTTGAATCATGAAAAGATATAGCTCTATAATATTTTGGGGCTGTCTTTTTATAGGGGCAGTGAACAGAAGAATGAAACAAACCAAAACCAATAAAAAAAAAAAAAAACAAGTATGTCATTGTTTAATGTAAACCAAGTAAGCCACAAGGCAAAAGAGCCACCTTCAATTTAGTCCATGGCCTGCTACCGGCCATGGACCAAAAGTGTTAAAATGATCCAATCAAAGGTCCAGACTTCAATCTAATTGAGAATCTGTTGCAAGTTTTGAAACTTAGTTCACAGATCCTCTCTATCCAATTTGACTGAACATGAGCTTCTTTGCAAGACAGAATGGGCAGAAATGTCCTTTTCCAGATGTGCACAGCTGGGAGAGACGAACCCCAAATGACTTTCCATAAATAAAATGTAATAATTGTTTTACTTAATAATTGTTTTTTCTGACTTTCATATAAAAATGTCTTTTTCATTTTACATTCACAACTATTCATGTTTGTGATTGTTATGAGAACAAATATGAAACTGTTCACAAGAGTATGAGCACTTTTGCAAGATAAACATGTAACAATCTAAACATATTAATCAATAATTATTTAGATTTAAAAATTGGAGAAAAATATATCAGAATGAAAGTTTTGGCACATCAAGGCTGGCCTATGTTCAGCCATCGTATCTGAGACTACTTCTATCCCCCTCCAAAGGGACTGCTTACTCATCTAAACTAAAATATCTAAAATAGGCTCTCTCTCATTCCCCATCTCTTTTTCCAGGATTGGTGTGTGTCATTGTTTATTATTAGGCCAAACCATTTCCTGCCTCTTTTTTTTTTTTTTTTTTTCCAGACCGGATTGGGGGGCAAAAAAAGGGAGTCTGTGGCGATAAAGAGCGAGACAACCCGGGAAAGATTTTTTTTTTAAATGTGTTTGTGTGTCGTGTACACAATGGACAAGTGCTCGCATTTGTAAGAGGTTTTAATCGATCTGGCTGATCTACTTAGCCAGTGACTGGCACATCAAAACAAAAATAAATAAATAAACAAGCGAGCCTGTGCAGAAGCACTCAACCCTTATCCAATCAGGTAGGAGAAAACAGAAGTCCCCTCCACAGTGTCCTTCCCACCCTCAGAGGCCCCTGAAAGGCTCTAGTTACATCAGCACGTAATCTAGAAGGTGAATGTTCCCAGACAGTCATGCAAAAAAAAAAAAAAGGACAAAACACAGACACACAAAATTTGCACGTACGCTGTGTGGTAATTAAGATCAGTTACCATAGAAATAGGAGAATTGAAGAAGCCGTTAAAGTGGATTGATCGTGTGGGTGTGTATTTGTAATCCAATAATCTATGACTGGGGGTATTTTTCCCAGCTAGAGGCCAGTGGAGGAGCTGTGTTGCTCAGATAAAATAACAATCTATAACTTACAATTACATAGATTTCATTTTTTAGCCTTTTTTTTTTTTTGTCTCGCATATGTGTTTCAGGAGATCGAATACATTTTAAAATCTGATAAGGGAAACCTGAGTAAACTGAATGCTGTTTTTAAATAATTATTTTATCTATTAAGGGAAAGAAAGCTATCCAAATCACAACAACTTGACCCTTTATGAGAAGTAATCGGTCACTAAACATAATAATAATAAATGGTAGCGAATCACTCAGTAATTGATGGCTGAACACCCTCCTGTAGGATTTATAAATAGATAAATATAAATAGATAAATAATTTATATATAAATTAATTGACAGTGATCTAGATATTTATCTTTCTACATAAATATCCATATTTTTTTTTTTTCCAGTTCCCAGGAAAAGCTGTTAGCAGGGAAGCAATCATCATCAAGCAGTTGTTCAATCCCTTCTGGCAAACAGTCACACCACATTTAAGCTGGAGTATTTATCCAGTTATTTACATCTAATAGGGGGCATCATTTTGATTATGAGAGTTGTATTACACAGATGTTTAGAGATGTTCAAAAGATATCCTCCAATGTTATGTCTTTCCTTATCTGGTGGTACAGCATGTTTGCACCAACAGTACTAAAGAAGTGAGACCAAAAAAAAAAAAAAAAAAAAAAAAAAAAAAAAAAATCACTGATTTAAAATGAAGAACTACAATTTTTGGGAAACTGTCTTTAAAGTCCTGCCAGTTCTGCTGTGGCACATAAAGGTTAATACAATAAATTCTCAGAGCAGAAGCCTCATTTAGAAATTTACACTTTCATTCATTAAAAAGGCAGATTGCAAAAGAGACTTCTCATACCTCTGGAATTCCCGGTCGATCAAGCCAGTCGGCGTAAATAGCACTGAGGGTGAGGCCCTTTCTGGAACACAATGGCACAAGTGTTAGTTTTATTCCTATTATTACAGTGATGATTGTTATTGCCCAAGAAACCCTTTTAAAAAACACGTCTCTGGGAAAAAGCTGGAAGGGTTCTGGCGGGCTTGAGTTTGGGCCAACACCTTAAACAAAAAAACAAAAAAACAAAAATCATGGACACACCCGTCTTCCTATACAAGATAGAGTAAACAGACATGTACAGACAATGAATAGGATTTAGACGTATGCATGTCATGCAGACAAACATTTGTATGAAAAAGTGTAGCTGCGTCTATGAGACAAAGTGTATGTTTAGTGGATGAAAACCGTCTCGGACAGAACCGCCACAGTGACCGAAGCAACACGCAAAGACAAATGTGTGTGCAAACAAACATTCCACAAGCAGTCAGCAGTAGGTATGCAAACTCTGAAGCACACGCAGAGTAGAAGAGTAACCATACGGCATACCCTTCACCACACTATTAATCTTTCTGGCTGTGTTTAAAAAAAAAAAAAAAAAGTCTCCACTCTCTCGCACTGAAGCTTTTACTGTGTGCCGTGAGATTCAGTCCATTAAAGAGGCCATTTTTTAAATGAAATGTTCTCATTTCCATCTTTATTTTTACAGCTATGCTCCCCTAACAGAGGCTCAATTACTGGCTTTATACATTTGCCAAATATATTCCAATAGGACCTTCCTCAAAATATTTTTTTTTTTTTTTTTTTTTTTACCATTTACTCAGAATTACAGAATTAGACATTAAATAGTGCTTCCATATTAATTTAAAGAGGTGGTTTTTAAAAACAATCTTCCTTTTCTTGTGTTAATTTTCAGTTTAGCTACTTGAAAATCCCGTCTCCCAGATTCAAATTTAAACTGCAGTAAGGTTCATTAAATGTCAATTATGCTGTGTGAATTTATGCAAAAAGTAATACTAGCAAGCAAAACCGAAAGCATGTCAGTGAGGGTTGTAAATATGTCTAAACAGGGACAAGGGGTCAACAGACAAATCAGTCATGCCACAGTTAATGTGGCTAAAAATAAATTAAGCACACAGGCACTTAGTAGGGACCAGGCTTTACTCTTTGCTCACTGACATCGGCTGAGTTTTATTTTGTAATTTTTAGTTATTTTGCTAACAATACAGACTAATGATAATGTTTGGTAATTTACATGGTGGATATAATATTTTAGATCCTGAAAGCACACTAAAGTCTAACACAAATAAATTATATTCAAAATGTTCCTTGTTTTTTCAATTCCAAGAATAATTTTAAAACAAATTCCAGATACATTTTCCTCACATTAACTTGACGTGTCTTTTTTGTGCCTTAGCTGTACGACATAAGGTGTCCATTTTGGACATTACCGTGGTGCAGATAAACTGTGAGGATTAATACACAGACTGACGATGTGTAGAAAGACGAGACTTTCAGCTGTTTCCATTCACTGCAGCTACAATATTTCTCTACGCATTTCCTAAACCACTCAGTTGCATCTTTAGCATTAAGAAAAAAAAAAAGGAACACTGGCAAATGCTCATCAACGGCAATGCTGGCTAAAACTGGATCAGAAAATAGAACGACTATCTAAAGGCTATGGCAAATAACAGGTAGTAGGCTTGACAAAAAACACTTTTATTTCCACAGATGTGGTGTCAGACTGTTTGGCCTCCCAGCCACTGCCTCAAAGAAAACATTTCCCCTGACTTCATCCTCCTTACCAGAGAAGTCAGAAGATAAGTCCTCCCCTTAAAAACCCACATTCCAGGAAGAGAATTTGTTATCACTACTTTCTTCTTGGGTAGGCGCTGTGTTGATTATTGATGCCAGAGTTTGGTATCCTGTATGTAACATCATGACTCTAGCAATTTTCCTTGGAATTACCAGCTGCTTTGTGGTAATTTTCCCCCTTATTTCCTCCTCTAACTGATATGGACAATTAGTCTAAGCACAGCTGAGAAGGAAAAGTTATATTAAAAAAAAGTTATAATATATGGCTTTTAATGATCATTAGCAAATCCATATTCAGATGTACAATGAGCATAAAATGTTACAATCTGCACAAACATCACAGGCTTTACTAGAAAAGCCTTAGGTTTTGGCAAGATGAGTTGGTTCATAATAGAAGTACTGAGACATAAGGTTTTGGTCTCACGGGAGCATTTAAGGCTCAAATTTACCCATATTTCATGTACCTGAGGGGCAACTTTATTGCGGTTTCCAGATTATTATTTGGTAATTAACAGAGAAATGAGTTTACATAGGATGGAGATCTCAGGAAAAAGCTATCTTTTGTATAGATTTGCATAATCCTATATTCTATATTGATTATGTCTTGATTACTTTATCCACTAATGTATGAACATGCAAAAAGCAGCCATGACCCTAAACAAACCGGTACTTTGATCCTAAATCCTTCTTGTCTTTTTGTGTTGTTTACAGACAGAGGGATCACATCCAAATATTGACTGTGCCCAACTCTCTCTGTCTAATTCAATCAATTACTGACTGGTCCAGCAGCACGCTCCACCTGACAGAGAAGGCAAGACGACAAGATTCACGGCAGACAAAAGGTGAGGCAAAAACAGAGCTTGCAACAGAAAGTTTGAAGGCTGGGAGAGCTAATGTGAAATACAGACCGAGAAACGGGAAGATGCAGGAAGAGGTTAATGAGGCAATCAGAAAAGATGGTGAATTGAATGATAAAGCAGAGAGACAGAGAGAAAATGAGAGAGGAGGAGAGCAGGAGGAGCAGTTATCCTTTTACACTTCAATTAATATGAGAGTGGATGAGACTGTTCAGTTAACCAGATTGGTGTTTGAAGCTTTATTAGACTGATTGTTTCCACACCAGGACCTCCACAGAGAGTAAATCAACAGAAGCCTTCCTATTTCACATTAAGCTATCATCATCATCCAAGACTAAAATGCTTAAGCTACTTTTGGGGAGAAAAAAAAAGAAAAGATTATTAAAGGTTTCTGCTATTTGACTGGAATGGAAATCCCCTACTTTAACGCAGGGTAATGGATTCAGAGGTTCATATAATTCATGAATTAAACAGTAATTGCTGCCACTTACATACCTCTCCAAGTGTGGGAAGGTAATCAGGAACATTTGCAGGAAATCCTGTTAGGGGAAAAAATAAATAAAAAAAAAACACGATGAGAAGAAATGGGAGGCATAAAGTGAGATGTGGGAGGAAGAGTGTAAGAGACAGCAAGGCATACCTGATGTTAAGTCAAGTGTGCAAGGTCAGACCATGTTTATGTTACATCCATTATTTAGTGAGAAGATCCAATCTGCCACTGCAGATGCAGGAGCCAGGTGGAATGAATCACATGCATACACGCGCACGCGTACAGACTCCCAGGTGTTATTGTTCAGGTGCTGGTGTCAGCAGGATAAACGTCTGCATATCTGCTCATACACGGAGCTGAACGCTGAACATTAAAATTGGTCTTCAATTGGCTGCACGACTTGAAATGTTATCTTAAATATAGAAAGACATTATTTCTCTCATTTTAAGTGTTTTTATTAGCATTTTCAAGCGTGGTAAGGTTATAATGAAAGGTGCTGTAATACAAAAGTTGTGTCAGCAGGCAGCAATAGTGTTGGCATCATAACTCTAAAGAAAATTCTAAGCTTCTCCCAAAGTAATTGCATCTTGAGTTTTCTCTGACACCAATTACCATTTTCTCAGTCATTCATATAAACTGAAAGTCAGTGGAAATACTCATGGCAAAAAGTGAGAGATGTGAGAGAAAATGACTCATATTGTGGTTTCTTTATAACCATATGTAGTATAATTTCTAGACTACTGAGTGCACCTGAACATAAGCTGCAACCACTAATATTGAAAAATAAAAAAAAAGACATATATGCCACATCAAAGCATTGGTCCATTTTGCATATGGAAAAATTTTAGATATTTTCATGGGTTTTTTTTTCCCCATCTGTCTCAATGTAGTTTAACAGTGACAATGGCATCACTTGTTGAAAGAGAATAGGGTTTTTGACTGAAATCCAACATAGCGTGCATACGCAATTTTTTAATTCTATTTTTTTTATTTCTTTTTTATTGTTTTAACCAATGGGAGGTGTTAAAGCAAAATCACAATTTTGCCAAGCATCAATACTAGCAGACAAAAATATTCCTCTCAAAGAACTTCAGTCTCACCTGAGACAAAATAAGTTGTCCATGGTATTTCTTCACAAATAATCTGAAGAAGTCAATTAAGTGCTGGTCCCCAACTTCACTGGCCAAGAACCTGAGAAGGAAGTAGCCCTAGGCAGGGAACAAAACATGATCCATCACAGAAACACAAATAAACTCAACGGCGGGTCCAAGCACACTGGAGCTTTTTGGCAGGACAATTGAAAGGACAATCTAGAATCACTCTTATCATTTAATATGCCAACGCTGCAGTTCCAGTACTTTATATATTTTTCCTCTGTATACCTCTGGTTCTATTTTCTTATTTCCTTCCTGCCTTTAATACATTAGTCTCTTACCTTGAGATAGTGGACTTGCATGAATGTTTTGTCGGGGTTAAGAGCGTGTTTGATTGTGGAGGAGCCAGAGTCGCTGACTTGACCAGTTCTGTCCATGTTCGGTCTACAGGAAAGCAAACAAGTAAAAGTATAAACAAAATCACACAAAAGTTTTAAAACCTTTCAACTCCCCTGTGCAATATTGTAGACACTCTTTTAAGGAGACATTGATATACATGTTCTGGTTAACAATTAACTGGAGTTGCATTGTTACACACTGTCACACAATTGCTACATTGTTTATTCAAGCTACACATTTTTATATTTTCACCCATATTTTCTATTTGTTTGCTTTTTATGTAGAGATTTGGCCATCTTTGATGAAAAATTGGTTATGAGGATTCTGGCAAAGAACCTTATCTTAAAGGCCATGTGTTTGAGCATAGTTCTAGAATCAATCATTCAATCAATCAATCATTGAGTAGTGGGAAGAAAAACAGTGCACGAACAAAATAGAAGATAAAGACAAAGACTCTATGGACAGAAAGTCCATATTACACTAATATTAGTGACATTTCAGAAGCAGGAAAACGACAGTTTCTACATATCAAGACTTCACTGTCAGCATCACTAAATCCACCCGGTCAGGCAATCTCTCACTTGTGAACGAAGAGATTGCCCAGTTGCCATGCATCGCCTGAGGCAGGCAGGAACTCAAGCTTCAGATTTATAATGGAGTACTATAGACTTTATATGACCTCACAATGCTGCACTCGGACTTTACTACCTATGAGTCACGATGCAAACATATAACACTTCTATAAATAAAGCACCCCTGACTACCAGAACTCTGCATTTAACATTTTATGTCACCTAAGCACAAATCATGCCTTAAACCTCCATAAACACACCAACAAACACACATAAAACCAATAAAGAAACGGGCAAACAAAGCCCTGACATGGGACGGCGTGCAGTGATAGCTTCAGTTAGCTGGCATCGATCAGGATGAGCAGATTAACTCCGTGTGCCAATAGGAAGGCCTTGAAGGATCACCCTCCCACCGAGTCGATACAGCAGGCGCCTGGCCCAGCGATCAATACCCCCTTCATCACTGCCTAGCACTTTTCTACGGGAGCGCTTCATGACTAGACCAGGCGGACGTATGCACAAAAAACAGATGAGCAGTGAGATCGACCACGCAAACCGGAGATTCAGATAAACCAGGTATGGCTTCGGGTGTGAGGAATGAGTCAACAGTCAAACTTTTCATCCGTCTCTCCCACACGATGAGCAGAAGAGTGGGGTACGGGTGGAGATGAAGTAGATTGCGGCGGCTGGCAGAAGGAGCAAGTGGTGAGGGAGAAATCGAGGACAGGAGAGAGACAGGAATGTTTGGTTTGTTAAACAGACTGAGAGAGGAAGTCATCAGCTTCCTGGAATTTCTAAATTTGACTGGACACTTGCAACAGCTTTCATCGTGCATCCGAGGATGTATTTCTATTCAAGATGAGACTTTGGGGAAATTGCGCCAAAGTTTGCACTAATATTCTCAGCCTGAGGTGAACTGAATTACCTTAAAATATGAAGGAACCACTTGAGTGTTTTATTATTTTACTTACCAACAAATAAGAGGTATATCTTAGTGTCCTGTATTGTGATGAAAGTAAGTATATTTTGGTAATAGGTTCAAAAAGGGAAACCGTTATTTTATGCAGATTTATGACAGACATATTTCAGGTAATTTCTGTTCATTTTGATTATTAAAGCCTACAGCTAAAGAAAACTCCAAAGTAAATTTCTCAGAAATTCCAAAATAAAATAATTTTAATTCAGAAATTTGATGTTATGACTATAATATGCAATCATGGGGAAGACTGCTGACTGCAGACGTCTACAAGGAGGGTGAGCCACAGAACGGCACTGTTAAAGAAGCTGACTGTTTTATTTGGAAAGTTTATTGGGGGAAAAAAAGAAAGAGTGTGGTAGAAAAGGTGCAGGAGCAACCATGAAAACCACAGCGTTGAGAGGATTGCAAAACTCATTTGAGAGTTTGGAGGTTTGGTCTGCAGCTGGACTCAGAGCTTGAAGAACAGCCGCATAGAAACTCCTGAGTTGCAAACAAAGACAGGATGGTCATACCTGGGCTGAGGAGAAAAGGAATTAGGTAGATTACAGTCCGAAATTCTCTTTCCAGATTAATGTAAAATTGAATTTCATTTCAAACTTAAGATCCCAGAGACCAAAGGAAAAAGCGAGAAGCACAGAATCAAAGTTTCATGAGGTTCAGTGTGAAATATCCTCAGTCTGTGTTGGTTTGAGGATCTACGTAATCATCTGGTGTTGGTTCACTGTGTTTAGTTGAAAGTCACCATAGCCGTCTGCCTTGGTTTACAAGCTTAACAAGATGCCAATTTAAATTTCCAGCAGGACTTTATGTCTTTGTGTCAATAATTCTGTATTAAAAGTCTTTTTTTTCCTTTTTTTTTTTTTACCAACATGCAATAATAACCATAAATTAACATGAAATCGCACATCTCTTTGACAAATCTATAAATGGGCTTCATTGTTTGAATTGAATAACTGAAATAAAATCACCTTTAAGATGATTCCAATTTGTCAAGACACACTTGTATTTTTTTTACTTCCTCTCAGATCTGTTCAGTTCTCAGCTCTAAGTGCCCATATCAGTCTGTTAGTGATGATAAGATAACATAGGTTCACTTATAGAAAACAGGGGATCCTTTATCCATGGGCGAATGTGTGTGTGTGTATCTGTGTGCCAGTCAGAGAAAAAAGATGGACTTTGGCTAAAGAAATAAAAGCAGTGACAGGACATGTATTTCTTGAGAAAACAGGTCCACTGTGTGTGCATGTTACACAGGAGAAAAATGTTGATCTGTCACTGGTGGATAACGCATATTGACTTCATAGACCTGTAAATCCCTCACTTTCTGCCTCTTTTTAACACGTAGGATTAGATAAAGCTTCAGGTTGAAAAAAACAATCGCTGCGTTGAACAACCCACAATCCATCAATGCATTTCTGAATAAACAGGGCTCATATCTGACTTGTAGTGTGTGTGTGCAAAAGGGGAAGGCTGTTCTGTGCATTTGTTGTTCTGCATGCACCTGGGTGGGGCCGAGTTTGGGGAAGGAGAGAACGAGCAAGAAAGGAAATCGGGAGCTATTACTGACAGAACCTAATGTCAAACGCACACACTCGCACACAAACACAAAGAGGTTTATAGCTCCGCGAGCCATATCCTGACAAATTACACTGGGTTGACTGTGGAAACCGGATAAGGTAGAGCAGCGCTTCTAGCAGCCCAGTAAATCAGCAGGGAGAATGGCGTCTGGCCCGAGCTGCCCTAAATATAACTCATCTGAAATGGTCTGATAAACACTGGCCACTGGGGCCCCTGCTGGATCATAGGCTGTCGATTGTGACCTACTGAACTTGAAAAGAACAACCTGCCATCTAGCTTTTGTCTGATTTCCTGGTGAGCTTAGAGGATGATGCTCTTCATCTCTGTCTGCGCCGATCGGCCACATCAGTATGATCATTGGAAGTCAAAGCAACGCTGCTCATCTGGTGTTTTTTTCTGCTAAATAAATAAATAAATAAATAAATAAATAAATAATCCTTTGTTTTACATGGGTGGTACTCTGACATGAAACATTTTTCACAGAGTAATTACAACTCCTCACACTATGGCAACACTCCCCCTATTGTTCGACAAAGGAGAGAATAATATTTCATGTACATCCACAAGCGCAAGGCAGAACTTGTTACTGTTATCCAATCCATCAGACAGAGTCTGCAATGTGTTAGTTATCCTATAAATCTTTAATTAAAATGGCAAAATGTATTCCTGGGATGTTAATGTCCTTCTAATGTCTTTATGATTCTAATGAGGAGTTCCTGGAAGGAACCCAATGTAATTTGGTCGCAATTATTGGGATAATGATTACATCCACAGTAAATATTCGGAGATTTCTCTTTCATTATCCAAACTGTTCTTTTTACGTGAACAAAATAATGTACGAATGTGAGCACATGTTGCATTCTCAACTGACCTACAGACTGTAAAGCAATTACTGTCTGCCCAATCTGACAGCTGATTTACAAAATGCTAAATAAATTTAGCATTTTGCCCATGTTACTAGGGCCTCATGGTGTTGTAATTTTCAAGGACAGCTCATGGAAATGAAAGAAAAGTTACTGGACGTCACTGAAGAATGTGTGACAAAAATAACAGACACTACAAGAGAACCCAGCACTGCTCATATCTGGAGCAGTGCTGGGTGCACTGGTGCAATGGTTCCCAAACCTGGTCTTAAAGTAACCCTGCCCTGCATGTTTTAGGTGTCTCCTAGCTTCCAAACACCTGACTTAAATGAATGGGTGGTTAATAGGCTTCTGTAGCATTTGGTGTCTGCAGAGGAAGTCATACAATCATTTGAATCAGGTGTGTTGGGACAGAGACACATCTAAAACATGCAGGTCAGGGGTACTTGAGGACCAAGTTTGGAAACCACTGCACTAGTGAAACTACAGAGGCCGTCTCCAAACTGTTCTGACAGTCGGAAGCATAAACGTTTCCAAAATTTCTTGGTATCATGAAGCCATAACATCTAGTTTCACTAGAACCAAGGGGCCAAGATTAACTCCTGAAAAAACCCCCTATATTACACCAAATATTACACTTTAGACAACACAGTCAGGTCATTGCTGTCCTCTTGGAAACTGCCAAACCTAGAGCGACTCATCAAACTAACCAAAAGAAGTATGATTTGCCACTTCAGAGAACGCATTCACACTGCTCCGGACTGTATTGGTAGCAACTGCATCTGGTACTTTGCATTAAATTTGGTTATGGAAGGTTTAAATAGAGCTGCTCAGCCATGTAAACTTACTCCATGATGCTCCATGCACCATTTAAGTTTGAAGGTCTGTTGCCTTTGACTACGAGGAAACTGGCACTATTAACCTCCACTGACCCTGCTCTATGATTTTATGTGGTCTAACACATCATGACTAAGTTGCTGTTATTGTTTCTAATTTGTTATAATATCAATAAAACTTGACTGTGGAAGCAGGAATTAAATTTTTATGACTGGACTTACTACACTGTCATAGTACCACACCAGAATTCAATGAGCTCCTAAGAGGGACTTGTTTAATTTAACAAATGTTTGTAAAAGCAGTATGGATGCCTAGGTCGTAGATTTTAAACATTTGTGGCCATCGAAGTGGGGTTTTTTTTTATTATTGTGAAACAACGTTATGCTCACAGATATTGACAGACTATAGCATAAGTCTTTACTTCCAATCCTGGAGGGCTGGTGTCCTGCAACTTTTAGATGCGCGTTTGCTTCCACACATCTACGTCAGATGGGCAGGAAGAAAGAAACATTCCTTGAAGCTGCTGACTGTATCAATCCGCTAGATCAGACGTAACTCAACAGTTCAATCTAACTCTGCCAAGAACAATTTGGGCTCTTTAGAGAGCTATGCAGAAGTATCAAAGATGGTAAGCCCCTCTACTTTCCTTACTAGTCATTTGAAAATGATCCCAGCAAATCTCTCATGTACGCTGCAACTTAGACATTCCATATATACCACAGAATGCACACACACAAACACACACACACACACACACACACACGGGTATATATATATATATATCAACCCAATAATATGACTTAATGTAATGCAACACAATACAGTTGGCCTGTCTGCACTGATGAACATTTCCACATTAGAATGTTGAATGTGCAGCTACTGTATAAAACTGTGGCAAATTATAGACATGACAAATATTTCACACTGAACTTGATGTTTTACAAAATGTGCTTTGTTTCTGTATCTTTAAACCAATTATGAAACAACGTACCCGGAAAGATAAGAAGCAGTGTGACAGCAACTTAAGTCACAATGATTTAATACTGCAGGAAGCGAAAAACCTAATCCAACTTAATCATATGTCTGCCTTGTAGAGGAACACCCTTGTAGGCAGACAGAGGGAGATTTTAATTGCATATTTAGTTGTTTTACTGAAACATCGTTTACCTTTGAAGATTAAACCAGTAGCATACTTTAGACATGAACTGCGGGCTAGAAATTTGCAAACATGGCTGTGACATTTCCTATTAAGTAAATGTTATGTTAGGCTCCATAACTTTACCTAATCAGTTCCCAATACCAACTCCCAACTTGCTCAAACTGTAAGTGTCTGGTCTATATACACCAGCTTACCTACTGGTTTTCTATTGCTAAGCAAAATAACAAAAGACAAATATTTCAAATGTTTTTTTGTTTTTTTTTACAGGTTTGAGCATTTATCTCAGAAAGCAAATCTCCAATTGTTCAATGAATGTGCAAGAATGTTGCTGTAGGATGGCATATGGTCCCCTCCAATATTACTGGCAACTCTGATAAATAGGTGTACAATAACTTTTAAAATATGAGTTTTACTGAAATATGATGTTCCAAAAACATGAGCTTTGGGGGTGTTTTTAGGTCTTACCATCCTGTTCACCGTGACTACAAAGATAAATCCCATCTATCACAGATTTTGTTATTTAACATTTTATAAATAATGGTTATGATTGTAGATATGGAAATGTTTAAATGAGAAGATATTCTCTTGTTAGTCATTTACCGACTTGCAAAGGTCAACGTGCATCTGCCTCACTAAAATAATCGATTTTCTCTTGCCTTTCCGATTTAAGAGTGGTTAGAGATAATTGATAATAAAAATGTTTCCAGTTGCTTAAAAGTAAAACAAGTTTGAATTACAGTGGCATTAGTTTTATATGAAATTGAATTCATTAAATAAATTAATATATTAAATAATGTATTAAAGATGTGTGGGATTATGCTGTTGCATTAAAACAAGTAATTCTTTTGACACTGTTCAGCTTGAATTGTTGTTTATAAAGTGTTTTCTAATTAAGATGGTATTATGTGGTATTCATATGAAGGCTTTTTCAAAATTCTTTACTAGGGGTGCTAATTATTTTGTGATTGTGTATTTCTACGCACTACAAGCTATCCTCTGAAACCCTTCATGACACAGTACTTAGCTGCCATATAAGTCACTGAATCTTATAATAATTTAGGAATGAAAAAAGCTTTTGATTTCAACAGCTTTGATTGACGTAAACCTTTTATAAGTAAAATAATTATTAAAAAATTACCCATGCACTTTTCACTGTTCAGAGACAGTTAATTTGATTTCTGGTCAAGGTCATTGTATTGTATGATGACAACATTTCTAATTAAGGTGATACAGTCAGAAGTAAGCTTCACAGAAAGGTGCAATGAAATCAATAATACGCATTCTGTTACACTTTCTACTGCTTCTTACAAGCATGAATATCAATACTTCATTATAAATACAAGAGCTCCCTCCATCTCCAAGGTTTTTTATTCAACATCTAAAATGTTCATATGTGTATTTATAGATATTTAAAAAGTTAACTCTTGGAAGGGGGTTTTCACAGCTGTAATGCCCGATGACAATTTCCTTCCACTCAGGATAAAAACAAACAGGGTGTGGGTCCCACATTGTCAGAATGAGATGAGGAGTTAGTGCATGCCTGGTGTCTCCAATGTGTTGAGTTTTCTGAGACATGATGGTGCACCACACCTCAATATGTTTTCTTGCCATACCTGTCCCCCTGGAATGCATACAGTTTATACTTAGACACACACACACATACGCACAAAATACAGAAAACAGACACGTTTTCTCTCACCTTAGACTTTTTCTTTTTCTGTACCATTACACATTACTCGTGTCTGTGGTCAAGTAAATGTACATCTCAAAAAATAAAAGCACATAAGCTTTTATTTTGTACTAATATTTCCTAATTCCTTCACAAAGCAGCAGACCAGCGATAAATAGAGGTACACACCGAAGAATTTGAAGTTCTTCATTTGAGTTCTGCAACTCATCTGAAAGTCGCCTCCACCTCAGCAACGCCTTCAGGTCAAATTGCTCTGCAGTCTGTCGTGAAGAGAGCTGCAGAGAAAATGGAGAGAATAAAGAACATGTCAGATGTTGTCAAATATTAAGATTCCCCCTCCAAACAAACCCCCACATAAACGTCAGATATTTACCAGACTGAAATGTTTCCAATACTGCGTAAAGTATCAGAAACATTAAAAAAAGTGTTCATCGGTCAGAATAATTTCACAAGGCCAAATTTATTTAGCATACTGAGCGATAGGATTAAGAAGGGAACAAGAGACGAAAAGAAAAACATTGCTATCAGAATGTGCATGCGAAGATTGGGTTCACATGCACATTCAGTCTGAAGTTCACGGAAAAATGCGCTCCCTGTTTTTTTTTTTTTTTTGGACTGTTTTCTAAAATATATATTTTTGAGGGGTTGTTGCTGTCCAACTCTGTATGTATTATGTTAGACGGTTTATTTTGTAGTTGGATTTGGAAATCTCCTCCTCCTCCATGTTGCTTGGCCAGCTCCTTTGACTTTCAGCCATTTCAGCACTTTGGTCCCTTCTTTTACACACCATCTCCCTGTGACATAGCTGATAAGTGTTGTCATTGTGGTATATTCAAGATGCTTTTAAACCACAAATGTGAAAAGAAATCTATGATGAAAGCATCTGTTTTTCCAAAATCAACTGCAAACGAGACTGAAGTTTTTATAAAATTGAAAAATCTCTGTAAGAATTTGCCCTACTCTGCTTAGTAAGTGAGAAAGAACATGTTTTGATAAAGTGAGGTAATTTGACACCTTTAGCTACTAAAGAGGGGATACTAACTGCTTGCAGCCTCTCTTCAGCATCCTACTTTAAAAAATCTGACAGATCAATTTATTACTAGATTTAAAAAAAACAAAAACACCTTCAAAAGTATGTGAAAATTGAGAATAAAATTGAAACAAAAGAACATATTTATGATTAGGAATAAGTACTTGTTGTGCTTGGGCCCATATAATGTCCTCCAGGAAAGTAGCAAAGCCTTCACTGATCCATTCCTCTGTCCAGTCTCTGGCTCCAATAACCAGGCCAAACCAGGAGTGGGCAATCTCGTGGCAAATCCTGGATCCACTCAGAGTCAGTCTGTTCAGTCCAGAACCAGGACATTCCTTGCACAACACACTCTGGGACAGGAAAATTATATGGGGGCTGCAGAACACAAGGGACATGAAATCTGAGAATTAAATGTGTCAAGATCGAGGACATTAAGGAAGTAAGAGAAAAAAGCAAGCCAAACAAAATTACTGGTTAAGGAAAAACACGGCACAAAGGCAGATAAGGACATAATGACGCGTCCTCCAAGCGTCTTTGAGCTACTCTTCCACACCTAGGATTACAGTAAATTAAGTCTTTGCACGTCATGCAAGACAAATCCACGTGTGTGTTCCAACAAGAACAGAAGCCGCCCATTCTTTACACAATCCTCTACATTATATTTAGAAATGGTCAGCTTACTCATCAGGCGTTCATGCCAAAGCTAACTGCTTTCTACGAGCTGATTTTGCCAATGTACTCTGGGCAGCTTTAGTTTTGATTGTTTGACACTACAGGGTGTATTTAAAGTGGTTTTCAATTTCACCTACTGCCTTTTTCTTCATGCACCCTAAAAAGGCACTGCACTTAAAATATTTACCTTGAAAAACATGCCATGTCTGCATGCAAAGAAGACTAGTCAGATACCAGAGTCCTAAAGATCGGTTTCACTGAGTAACTTGGTGAAAAGGAGTTAGAAACTGCAACAATGCATTAGAGAGAAATGATTGCCTTTTTCATTGAACTACATAAGTTTTAATAAATGTTAAACACTAGTGTGCTTTGTCAAATAAACCAATAAATAGTATAATTTTATATGATTGTGTAACAGATATAAAAGTTTTCAAAATGTTTTACAAAATCAAATCTAAGAATTACGGCCTCCCCATCTGTTTAACAACATTATTTTACAGTATGGAACACAGTGGCAATTAGAAAGAGTAGTGCGGAAAGTCTCTACCAGATTTGTGCATCTACAGACATAAATATTATCCTATTATTATTTTTAAAAATTCTATTCTTTTCAGACAGACTGAACAAACAATGTCTGTGCAATTGTTGATCTTCGATTTAAATCAATACATTGTAGCTCTGCCTGAATGCCTCGAGTTGTTGTCCTGCTGCACGGTGACCTTTCAGCCCAGTTTCAATCTTTTTGCGTCATCAAATAGGTTTTCTTCCAGGATTGAATTGTATTTAGCTCCATTTATATTCCTCATCAACTCTGACCAACTTCTCAATCTGATAAAGGCATGAAGGCAAAGACAAATCTGAACAAATCTGAAAATTACGAGACTTGTTGAATTATGAGAATTAAGAATATATATATATATATATATATATATATATATATATATATATATATATATATATATATATATTTCCATATATACAATAATGTGTTAGATATTCTTACATTTGTATCGCTATTTAAGCGAGTACACCTTAGATTTGACAGTGAAAGTGTTTTCACTGCCTGTGGCAAGCACTGTAGTGATAAGTAAAGAACCACACCCCATTCTTAAAATATTTTGTGTTAAGTTTCTCTGAAGGGAAGAGTTTGGATTTTTATCTTCAGATCTACCAAAGAAAAACATTTATAAGTTGTAATACAATTTTGGTTTGCACCATAACAGGCATAGACACTTGTGAAATTTTGATTATTGTCCACCGCTAATTTTAAAGAACAAGTATGCTACTGATTCTTAATTCACTTTATTGCAGAACCACTCATGAAAAAAAAAATTACTAGCTTAGACGTCAAATAGCTAAAATATGGTTCAAAAATCATGCGCATATGTGAAGTGCTTTCTGCTCTGCAAAGCTGGGAGTATGGCGGGCAAAAGTGCTGACTGACAGCTCTCAGTGATCCAGATCTAAGCCAACATTTAATGCATTCTTCCTTAGTTCCAACTCCACCTTTATGTCTATTTTTTATGAAACTAAACTTGGCAGACGTTAAGTACAGCATACAGACAGGAATTTAAAACACATCCATCACCAAAGGATTTAAGGGATTTGCTAACCAGTTCTTTGAACAAAGTACCAGCAGGCTGACAAGCAATAGTGAATGTCAGAGGTTAAGTAGCTGTTTAGTTTCTAGGCCCAAAAATGCAAAAGGAGCATTAGATTGAGAATAAATAGTAATTAATACAAATATTAGGACTCCTGAGAAGTAGTAGTAGCCAATGCTTTTGCTGCAGAAAAGTTTCATAAATTGCATCAGATGAAAAGCCTGGAAATCAACAGAAGCAGAACTTATTACTTGGAATATATAAAGTAATCCACAGTGGCTGTGCTACATTTGGAATAAAGCAAGGAATAGAGAGAAAATAAAACATTCATATCATTCCTCATATGAATGCCATTATTAGTTATTAGTCCAGATTCTGAGACTTTATCTCGGAAATGTGCAAATAACACTGTCAATCACAAAAACCTGTTAAAGCAAGATCTTGCTAGAAGATTCATTGATTTTTTTTTTTTCCCTGCTTTCTTACATAACAAGCTGCGATGACCCTGAGGACGAGGGGGCCACCTGTGCATGAAAAGGAGGCAAGTCTCCAACGCAAAAATGGGGAAGAGGGGTCGCAGAGGTGCAAATGAATGGCATCCTTCTCTGCAGACTCAGATAAAACACTAGACTGTCTGAAGACCTTTTCACTCTCACCTGACCTTTAGTGTCACAAATAACACTGACATGACATGTGAGAAAATTTATGGCAAACTGTAGGTCTGCAAGTTGTTGTTTTTTTTGTTTTTTTTTTTTTTCCTTCAAAGGGGTATTGTATCCAACTCTAGCAACAAACATGTTAAAATGTATTGAAGACAACTTAGAACATTTTTGAATATATAGAATATAGCAATGGGCACTAGACCAGGTGGTCACAATTTAAAATAAATGGAAACCCATAGCTGATTAATATACCATTGTTGTTTAACTATGCACACACTTGTCGTTACTGGTTTCGGCCAATAAGCTGCACATTCAAAAGGAACTCGTGGCTACTTAACATTGTTATCACAACATTTGAAGACGGAGCTGGAGAAGATCCGTAACTTTAAGTGCAAATGTCACAACAGGAGAAAAGAAAATTCTCCACTTGGACACTTTTGGTGCAGAGTTTTCTGCAAAGTTTCTTCCAATAATTGGAAGAAACTTCAAGCTAACAACCCCTTACTTCGGAAATGACAACAACCACCAGAAGGACACTGGGGAAAAGAAAACGCTCTAGGACCACTTATATGATCAAAGGCATTCATATATGAGCGAATGCCTTTTTTTTAATTATTTTATCATGGGGTGAGTTTCAAAATTTTTGTTTTTATAACGTAGCTTTATAAAAATCTGAATCAGAAATTGGCCTCACAATTAGTGCATTTCTACTTCAGATTCCTGAGATCTTATTTTACCTCAGTAAAATTTCAGTTTGCTCTCTGCAGACAAATTAAGCTTAAATGCTCTTATTGCTGATAAATTATACTCATAAAATAATTTGCTGTAATCAAGCAAAAATCAACATCATCTACTAAAAGAGATCATTTTTCCTGGACATCCCCTAATTCCAGTGACAAAATAAGTCGATTATAGAAGAAAAGAAGTGAGAAGAGGCAGGTCAGGATGGATCTGCTGACCTGTTTTGGAGGGAAAAACAAAATCAGATATCTGAGAAACACAACTACTCTGTATTTCCCTCAGGACTCTTACATCAGACGAAAGGCAGGCTAGAGTTATTTTGTTATTTACAGACATGTCAACATCATAGAAAGAGAGTCTTATGGGCATTATTCCTAAGATAGCACCTCTGATCTAATTCCCTGTTTTTCCTCATTACACAAACAGTGGCTCTCACTAGAGTACAGGATGCTAACATTAGTCTGATAAATTCTTTTTTTTTTTTGAAAGCGTAATCTTCTCCCTGCACAATTGGATAAGCAGTTCTTTGTTGTCAGTTTCAGCAGCGCCTGTGTGTTCGAGGTAGCGAGTGTGAAACACAAAGACAGCTTTTCAGAGACGGCGCTTGCACATGTTCCTCTGAGGGAGACGGAATCCATCACTACAGTGACAAATCGTGTCATCCCACCACGCTGGTGATGAATAACAACAGCATCTTTCACGTTCACTGACACACTGACTGGCGTTAGCCGACATCGGGGATCTGGCAGGGATACATGCATGACGAACACTACAGATCCATGCATATATAGCCTCTGTCTGTGTCTGCTTTCCTTGATTACATAAGCATTATCTCTGCATCCTCTTATCCTAATAAACAGTCAATAATGTCTGTGTGCTTTCATAAATCAATCTATACAGCCAGGTTTGAAAACCACAATCTTTCAGGTTGAATTTGCCAATTTGCTTCTTTTTAAACAGTTTTTCTTCACTGTCTTTTAATCAACAAACAAAAGTAGGTCTAAGGTTTGTTGAACTCAGTATTTTGGTCAGATGTGCCTACTGAGCATTGACCAAGAAATACTCCAGGTGGATGAGGTGTCCACTGTCAAGTACAATGCAGGCCCGGGCAATGTGTGGACAGAAAATATGATCAGGCATTTTAGCTGAACACCACCATGTGGTAAAATCTTTGATTTTATGCTCCTTTCTTAACATCACATTCCCCTGACATAATTCCAACAGAAATAATTTTGAAGAGACTAGAGCATAGAAAAGGACGCCAGGACTCTGGGTGATCAACAGAGATTGTGGAAAAAGAAAAAAAAAAAATTGTCAGAGATTCCTCTCTGCTTGTCCAAAGACGAAGCGCTGCAGAGGTATCAATAACTGCAAAGTTTATTTGAAGAAATTAATAAAAGTAACATTTTAGCTTGTGATTATGCTACCACAATAATTGTATATACCGTATATATATATATATATATATATATATATATATATATATATATACACACACATTTTGGAGGGTCTGCAAACATATTTAAAGATGACTCCAATAACGTCAGAGTGCTGCATGCCACTTTTGAGCTTAAATATTTGGGCAGCAGCCAATGGCAGCTGAAGGGTGTCGGTACGTTTAAAATGTAGCTGTCAGTTCAGATCATTGTCTTGGTGTCAGTCGGTATGCCTATACTACACACACATTAAGGCTCACTCAGAGTTTCAGAACAAATACGTGGTGACCTTGAGAGCTGTAG